GTTTCCCTTCCTGGGGTCGGCGGCACTGGGCGGCAGCCCTTAAATATTTTAAAAGGAATCAATGCAATTGTCTTTCCCCACTGAACCATGATTTCGACAATTAATTTGCACCCCCTGAGTGCATATACTGTAGACGGTCTGACAATGTCTGACACCTGTGTTGTCTGTGTAGGGGTTAACTCGTTAAAGTATGTCATGTGTCTCTGTGATGACTCAACCTTCCTGTACAGACCGTCTACGGTTTCCCATTGTAACAAAGACAGAATAGGGGGGGCCATGTAGGTCAGAAACATCATGTTAGCAAGAAAACAAGCAAAACTATGTTCGCACAGGAGACGGCAAGACTTGTCAGAACCTACTTCATCGCGCCCTCCCGGGGTGTAATTGGAGTCCTTTCCTCAAAGCTCTTCAGCTAGGGCTCTGAAGTTTGTGGTCTGCACGTGCGGACGGCTTTCCTTGTTTGCGCCCTTGTCCTAGCAAAGCGACGCCATCCCTGCCAGCAAGCCTCGGTGACCCGCAATCACACAGGTCATCCGAATGCTGGTGACTCACTGCTCCAGACTTAGGCAAGACTCTGACGCAGCTGCCTCGAGGCAACTGGATGTCAAAATGATTCGAGATTCAAGATGATCAAGCTGTCACATTACACTCTTCACTCTGCACAAGGCGATGCTGGCTACAATGCTTGCTGGCAAAATCACACTGGCATTTCAAAAGTACACGACTACAGAGTATAGAAGCTATTTCTTTGCTAGCTCAAGCCTCTCTCTGCCTGCTACTGGTATGTCACCAGGCCTGGAGGCATGCATCCTGCCGAAGCTTTGCCGCAAATGCTCCGACCTTCTCAGCACGTCCACGCGCTAGCACACATGAAGCAAGAGCAGCTTGCTTCATAGCGGCCTCCTGTGTGCGGTGGTCAAAAAGGTGATTTTCAGCTGTGTCTGCCTGCACCTGTTTAATTAGTGGTGCAGTGTCCTCAGATGCAGCCGATACATATCCCTTCAGCTGCTGGCCACCTGCTGGCAAAGCTTTCACACAAATTGATTGACAGGTCCATTGCAACAGCTAATAGGTGCTAATGGTGTCAACGTTGAGTTTTCAAGAGACCGTGCCAAGGCACGTTCAAAGAAAGAAGCGTGGCGCTTCCGCAAAAGATCCCAAAGTTTCTTCTCCCTTGCTGCAGATCGGATTGAGAGAAAAACACGTTGCTTTGTCATCACCGCCATCAGCCCTTCAGCAAGTGACCTCACCTGCTGCTGTAGAGCAATCTCAAGCCTGTCCATGTGGGGATGGTTGAACCCCATCAGTGTTGAAAAGAATCCTTGTATTCGTTTTGTAAAAAGTGCGAGTAGATCCATGATTTGCTGGCAGGGCTGGACTTCTTCAGCTTTGTCTTGACTGACCGGACTCTGGCATGAGTGCTTGGCAGAGCGACGGGGAGTTGGCATGGGCCTTCTGACATCCAACGGCTTCCGGGGTGATTTGCTTCCAACACGGGCATTTGCGGCCTCATGTCGATGCTGACATTTTCTGCAATCTGTGAGCCGGACACAAGGAAACTGCAGATCTGGAGGAAGGGGTGGACGTTCTGAGATGCTCCCCATTCTTGGCCCTCGTCCGTCGTCTTCGGCCACATCGTCCGTCATCCATACGAATAGAGATAAAGTATTTCACCCAACTTTCTCTTCCTTCAGCATCCAGCTTCCCAGCATATCGACATCGGCAAAGCAATGGCGCAATGTGGCATGGTATGGCATAGTCAGTATCCCTGCACTGCCTGCACTGAGTTCTGCGATCTTAAGGAACTCAATATCCTATCAGAGAACTTGAACTTTGAATCTACTAGAAGTCCGATCAGAATGATTATTCTCCTGCACACGAATGTGTTGTTTGAGCCAGGGGCCTTTGCCCTTGCAAACGCCAACAAAGGCAGCGCTGAATCCTTTTGTTGTGTCTGCTTGCTGGGGTACCTACTCAGCACCTTCTAAGAGTGGGCTTGAATCCCTTCCAAAGAAGTATGTTCTGTTATTAATATTCGCTCCTTTTGCTGCTTGCTCTTTCAACGATTGTGGTTCGCGGGCTGGTCCCACGCCACGATGCAATGAATCTAAGTTCACTTGAAAGTAAGTTTGGCTACCTCCATGCTACCCATCCTGCAGGTCGGTGAGGCAGAAGGCACTTGAAACCAAAATATGCAACCATGTCCAAGCCCAATTACTCAAACACAAACTCAGCCTTCGGCGTGCTGTTGGCATCTGTTGAGAAGGTGTCAAAGGACTGGTTTGTCCAGCGTGTGATGAGTTCCCTTGTTGCTGTCAAAGGCAACGTTTCTGGATTGCAGTTTCAATCAACTTACACCATCTTACACCATGGATGCGGGATTTTCTACTTCGGACTCCTTAAGCTATTGAGCTGGTGCTGCCGGAACAGGATGGACATGGAGGCACCAAACGCAAGGCATGCGCGCAAGCTGCAACCCACTCAATCCCAAAGAACAAAGTAAAACACATTTTTCAGCATGCTTGCGATTGCGCTATGCTGCTATGCACACGGACACGCATACAGCAGGCTACAGGTGGACAACATCATAACGATTTGTAGCAGCCCTCCAAAACGCAGAAAGTCTCGGAAATCGTAATCACCGGCATCGACCACAAGGATATTGCAAGGAGATCCCAAAGGTGTTGCAAAAGCTGCGTTGGACGCGAGCACGACAGTCACAAGCAGGGTCTTTACGCTCAGTTGGCACATGGTTTCTTGCAGCTCCTCTGATATGTGAGCAGCCACCGGAATCATCATCACACAAGTGGCTGTGTTGCTAATAATGTTGGTGAGAAAGGCTGCTCCAATGTAAACCATACAGAGCACCCCGAACGGACCAAATCCCAAACCAAGTCCAAGTAAAGCGTTGGCAAGTGCATGTGCTACCCCTGTCTGGGTTAGCGCTGCTGAAATCCCAAAGGAGGCCGCAATGGTCATAACTACGCCCCCGTTGACGGATTGCACTGCCTCTCGCCAGCCCAACACCTTCGCAAAGCAGCAAAGGAAGTCCAAGAAAAGCACTGCCGTGGCCAAAGGAAGTATGCTGAAGCCATTCAGCACGATGACTGTGAAGAAGCCCATCAAGCAAAGCATCCCTCGCATTCGGTCCTGCTGCTTCCCTTGCCTTGGAGGTTTGGAAGCCTCCACAGGGGCAATCACCGAAAAGTCTGCCATCCTGTCAGCCATTCCAGGAAAAGCTTCCAGAAGCAAGATCTGCCCGGCAACAATTCGATTTGGAGAAACGTCAAGGCTGCCTTTGTCATGACGGATTGCGAGGATCACGCAACCTTTTTGAAACAGTTTTGCCTTCTGCTCTGCCAGTGACTGCAACTGTACCAAGCTGGAATCTGCCACAACCACCTCAAAGAGTCGCCGGTGCCTTCTCCGACCACCCAGACCCTCCAAATCTCGAAACACAGCTGGCTCAAGTCCGTCATAACTTCTCCGAAGCCGGGCAATGCTAGCAGCAGATGCAGTCATTTTCAATACATCTCCATGAGCCAAAGGTGTGTGAAATGTATTTTGAAGTACTTCACCAGCGCGATGCAAACCCAAAGCGCGTGCATCTGGCAACCGGGAAAATCCAAGTTCTTGAAGTGTGCTTCCTATGGAAGGGCATCTGCGACGGACCACGAAAAGGATTTGGAAGTGACGCAATTCAGCGGCAAATGGTTCCTCAATGTCAAGAAGCAGCTCTTGGTCTCCCCGAATTGGACTGCGTTGGTACTTTGGATCTTTGTCCAAAGAGTCTTGGCAAAGCCGTGGGAGAAGCCAGCGAGCTGCAGCAAGCATGTAGCCAATGCCAACCATACTGAGCGGAAGGGAGTACGGAGTGAGCGAAAAGAAAGACAGTTCAACAGGCGTAGGCAATTCTCGAGCGCAATCTTGCGCCAACAAGTTGGCAGCTGAGCCAATCATCGTGAGTGTTCCGCCTAGTGTGGATGCAAACGCAAGAGGCATCAAAAGCTGTCCAGATGCATGCCCGTGACGCTGGGCCCATGCTTGCACCACGGGCACAAGCATGGCAACCAGCGGACCATTGTTGAAAATGGCTGAGGCGATGGCCACCGGGATGGTGATCCGACATTGCGCCATTCTAAGGCCAGCCGGGTGCCCTAGGATCCGAAAAACCACCGAGTCCAGAATCTTTACCTCTGCAAATGCCTCCGAGAGAATGAAAAGAGCGGCATATGCAGCTACCCCAGGGCTTGCAAATCCGGCGAAAGCTTGACGTTCTGTGATGACCCCACTTAGGACAAACAATACTGACAGTCCAAGAAGCACTGCATCTGCAGGCAGGCCATCAGCAATCAAGACAATACCAAAGAGTGTGCAACTGGCAACTAGGTATGGTTTCCACTCGTCGTGCTGCTGTATGCCAAAATCTGGATGACAGAAATTTGCGCAAATGACATTCGCGAGCAAAATGAATAGAAGAGCCTGTCATGACAATGTGTTTTGTAGAAAAATGTTGCCGAGTCGCATGTTCAATGTTTTTATTGTGTGTTCTTTCGGTATCGCTGATTTATATCACATGTTTCATGTGTCCAAAAAACTTTTCGCTCAAGCCGAGGTGCTATGCCACGGAAACTTGTCATCGCCTTCAAAAGATTGGCAGTTGGCAGCAGGCGTTGCTCAGGCAAAGCGGGAGCGGCATCGCTGGCAAATCTAGACCAGCCACCTGCTAGCTGAATGGTCGGGCTTGCGCATTCCATGCTGCAGCCAGTTTTAGGCTTGGGCCTAAAACATTGGTTGAATGATATGGAAACACGTTTGCCATCGCACCCTGCTGAAATTTGTGGCATGTATTGCGCGCAGCCATCTCAATTCATGCATTCGGCCAGCTGGCGGCAAACAATCAGAAAAATCGATGAAGGCAAGCTCTACGAAGTAAATGCGTCAGAACGTTGTGTTTCACACCCGTGGTTTTTAAATCACGTTTTGTTTTCCACGTTGATTGTTTTATCGTTTTTTACACCTTAAAACCTACGCTGAAAAATGTCGAACCTCCTCTCTGCTCTCAACCTTCATTTCTGATTTTTTCTGTTGAAACCTCTCTCCTCTTAGACCCCTGGAACCTCTGTTGCGGCATATTGGATGTCGAGGGTCTTCTCTCCAGAAGCGTCTGAAGTTGCCAACTGCGGCCAAACCAAAATGCGCACCTCTTGCATGCCCAACGGCAGACCGTTTCCAGCGCTGCTTTCTATCCATGACCACATTGGATCCATTTTACGTGCCCTTTATGAAGTATGGCCTCGAAGTACCGTATGTTTTTGCATTAGAGCTGCGCATGCACACAACATGAAGATCGGCCATCATAGCTACAACACAAAGTTGACACCGAAAACGAACTCCACAAATTGAGAGCCGGGACACCGGAAATCACAAGAGCCATTACACCGAAAATGCCTGATTTGCGCGAGGCCTGCGGTGTCTAGGTTGCCCCCGTCTGCTCTGGGCAGTTCTAGCTCACGTCTTTTCAGCAGTCCGCTTGTTGAAAAGTGCGTGCCAAACAAAGCCAAAAAAATCGAGATAGCAAATGACGAAGCGCCGGTAACACAAAAAACGGCCGGGGTTGGTATCCAAATCCCTGTCAAACTCCCCAGGAATATGTCTAATGTACGTTGGCCCCTCTTGACTTGGTTCCAAAAACTATTCTGCCAACTGGTTGAGTTGCTGGAATGTCTTTCGGTTATCTCTACATCATCATATCAAAAACACATCAAAACAACACTCGAACGACACAAGCAACCGCACTTCTTTTGAATCACTGCATTTGTGACCCCACTTCGGCACTCTCTGCACAAAGTCTCATTTCGATCAATTTGGTCCAATTAGAGATCTGTAGGAAACCTCATCCACATCAAGGTGCGGAACCCCTCTAGGAAACGTATGAGAACTTCATATGGCCAGTACTTCGGCACAGTTTCTATAGCAGGCCTAATTATTCTACTGGTCTGTGTGAACTGCGACCACCCGTAGAATACTGTAACCAGTTGTGGCATGCCGGGCCGACAGCAAATAATTAGCAGGTTCTAGTCAGTGACAGTGGAACAACGAACAGGTGCTCCACCACTCCTTGTTGCCAGTAGCAGGTGTGTAGCAGGTGTGTAGCAGGTGTAATCAATTATTCCAAGGGAATGTTTTGAACGAGGGCCCACCTGGGGCATTTTTCCCGGCAGCGGCTGACGGCAAATATTTGCCACACAATTGTGTTTCTGTGGGAGAATGCCTATTTCATAGCCAATATGTGCCACGAGATCCAATGAATTTTAGTCAATGGGATTGAGAACAGGTGAAGCAGCGCTGCTTGCTACCAATGGCAGGTGCGTGGCACGCGTGACTGTTCCAAGGGGTTGTCTTAATTATTCGATTGGGCTGTGAACTGAAAGCACCCCTGGAACAATTTGTCGAGTTGTTGCGCTTGAAAAAATGTGACCAAACAGTTGTTTAAAAATATTTCTAGGGTGCGCCAGGGCCCCTCAGTAGTGCACCAGTAGGCTCTAGTAGGGTCAGCCTGTGCGGCATAATTGTTTCTGTGGCATAGAAACCATGCACCTCATGAGCATTATCGCTTTTCGATCGAGCACTTCGATTCGAGCTGTTGATGAACTCGCCAACCAAACGGTTTGGCTCAAGCTGAGCAGGTGGAAAAGACCGCTTGCTTTGTACACCCCAACCTCCTTAGGTTATGAGCCCAAGGTGCTAGGTGTTTTCGAAGTCCACC